AAAGACACAAAAGGTCATAGATTGTATGATTCCATTTACAGTAAATGTTCAATACATACAAATCTATACAGACAAAAAGTGATTAGTATTGCCTAGAGTTAGGAAAGGGTGGGGGACAGAATGATAGTTTCATTTGGTGGTAACCAAAACTTAAACTTGACGAGGGTGATAGCTACATAGCTCCTTGAATTTATTAAAAATACGGTATGCTTTCTCGTGGCCACGGAGTCAATTCTGACTCGCGGCACCACTCCGGCAGACCGGAGCTGCCCTGCGGGTCCCCAGACTGTTACTGCTGATGGGAGAACACTGCGACTGCCTCGTGGGCATCAGCTGGCGAGTTCAAACTGCTGCCCTTGTGGTTTGCAGCACGGTGTATAGGATAGCTCAGGAAAGCTGTTGCAGAAATAAATTTGTCTTAATTTTCAGGTATGCATTTTTTTACATTGGAGGTACATTTAAGTAACAATAAATCTTTGAGCTCTAAAGAGTGTCAGGGCAATTTAGAACCTCTTTTCTAAAAAATTGGTTTTTAAAAATATAACAATAGTGTACCATGAAGGACTGTGTGCTAATGAATTTTAAAAAACGTTGGAGGCATGGATAAATACTTGGAAAACAGTCCCTCCCTAGATTACTCCAGACAGAAGTCAAGAACCTCAACAAATCCATAGCAAATGAAGAAATAGATATGTTTATCAAGAAGCTACCAACCAAAAAAGCCCCCAGACCAGATGGCTTCACAGGGAAATTCTACCAAGCACTCAGGGAAGAGTTGACACTGATCCTCCACAAAGTATTCCAGAGCATAGAAAAGGATGGCAAACTCCAAAACTCATTCTACAAAGCCAGTCTAACTTTAATACCCAAACAGGGCAAAGACCCCACAGGTATAGAGAATTACAAACCGATGACCCTAATTGAACATAGATGCAAAAATCCTTAACAAAACACTGGCCAATAAAATACAAAAACGTATAAAACATATCATATAACCCACCACGATCAGGTAGGATTGATCCCAGGGAAGCAGGGATGAACATACAAAATCCATCACTATTATATGCCACATTAATAAGAAAAGGTATAAGAACTACATGATAATATCGATAGACACAAAAAAAGCATTTGACAATATCCAATACCCATTCCTAATTAAGGCACTCATGAAGATAAGAATGGGAGGAAAATTCCTCAAGCTAATACAAGATATCTACGAAAGCCAACATCATAGAAAAGATGAAAACAATCCCACTGAAAAAGGGGACCAGACAAGGATGCCCCTTGTCCCCACTTCGATTCAACATCGTACTGGAGGTCCCAGCTAACAACATAAGGCAGCAGAAGGACATTAACGGTATCCAACAGGGAGAGGAGGTGGTGAAACTATTGCTATTTGTAGATGACATGATTCTGTACATTAAAAGTCCCAAAGGCTCCACAACAGGAGTACTTACAGCGAGAGAGGAATATGGAAGAGTGGCC